GTTCTGGTTCTGACTGAATGTAATTGCTTTCTTCTTCGTAATCAATCGTTACAGCATCACTATCCGTAGCTATTCGATCGATATCATCATCCAAGCCTAGATGTTTCTTTTTCAAATAATTAAACACATGTCTTTTTTTAAATAATCAAAAATTCTGCTCCAAATAAGTAAATTTCTTTCATCTTTCTAATACAAAATTCTCTCTTTTTCGGAAAAATATCTAGTTGTAAATGCAAAATTTGAAGTGTCATTTGGTATGCTAAATGGGGAGATCTTATTCCTTACCATAGGCTCTACTTCCTAGCATCATAACAGTCTAAAAATTGCCTGTTTTTCTAGTACTGAAAATGGCCTAAATTATGAAGCGTAGTTTTGCACTGGACCATTGGATTTCCTGCTGAAATTAATTACCAGGACTAAAGGACAGCGAAAGAAAGATCTTACCATCAAAATGCTTTTCCGCTTCAACTTCATTAAATTCTTGAACACTTTCAGTAGCATCAGTATATATCGCTGTATCTGGCAACTTCTGTTCCTCTTCTTCGGTGGCTCCTTTTTTTTCACTAGCAGAAAGCTAAAAAAAATTTTTTTTACGAAAAGAAATTAAATCTCCAGCAAATTTTTGAAGATTTTTTGGGAATTTCTGAATTGTTTCAGAACTATGCGCTCATTTTCGATAAATTAGTGCCCTACAAAAGAAGAGTCCTGCAAATGCATGTAATCCTAGTATTCAAAATCAGTTCGTTTATATCATGACGTTATTAAAATCGTACTTTACGCATTGTTCTCATTAGCAAACCGCTGCAGTGAAGAGTTAACTGCAAAGCGTCCATCCAGCAGCCACCTGCCTAAAAATGTAGCAGATAAGTTTGAAATTGGTCCCAGCATATTTGGATCAAGGCAAGCGTGGCCGGCCTCCTTCTCCTCCCCACAGTCCCTATTTTTTGGGTCTATATTCAAGCAGATTAGAATTTTGCGTGATAAATTGAAGTTGCTTCCCAAGAAATTCCAGAAGTTCGCATGCTTTTGAAGCTTTTTATCGCTCCTAATGAACAAAAAAAAAAAAAAAACTAAACAAGCAAAATTCATTTCTCGCTTCAAGCTGTGTGTGTGCTCATTAGCTGTAAAGTACACGCTCCCATAATTCATGAACGCATTAGTCTGACATGGCTCCTGCATTCCGCAGACTTCTAGATTTAGAAAAATTGAAACTTTCAATCATGTATAGAAAAAAAAAAGAAACATCTGCACAATTTCAAAGCCTTCTATTGGTTAAAACGAACAAAAATCAACTGGTAAAAATCCATTGCAAAAAAATGCATGTCAAAAAAAAAACTGGAAAATAAACTGGAAAATTAACCGGAAAAAAAACAAAACTAGAAAATAACTGGAACAATTTTTTACCTGTTCGGATGGTGCCCTGCAAATCAGATAGGTTGTTGTTATTGGCTGCAGTGTAACGGCACCGTGGTTTTCACCCAGTGGCTCTCGTGAACCCCAAATACTTTGGTCCATCAGATGAAAGAGCTTGAAGCAAAAGCCATCTTTTTTTGATGGGCGCTCAATTAGCTCACAATTGTTCAATAAAACCGTACCAATCCAATAACCATGCTAAAAATCATCAGGAAATGATGTACATGTACGAAATTAATTGTCGCTGGCGGACTGCTTCTTAACATTCCTTTCATATAAATAATTCTGTTAAAAAAAGAGCGTTTCAGCCATTGCAGTTTCATTTTCTGCTAGTTCTCCTCAAATACATTTCATTCCGTGCAGTAGCTTGCGCCTCGAGTGAAAAGCGAGCACGAAGAAAGTTTTAAATGTTATCTTTTTTGGCATTTTTAGTAATAGTAATTTCTAAAAATTAGGAAAAGGATAAAAAAAAACACCTTGTCAATTTTGTTGCTTTTATAAATAAGCAATAAACCAGGTTTTAAAACGCAGTAATAGCGATTCCATTTTCGCAGGGTTCCACGAATTTTTAGCCAATCTGCCATAACAACAACCGTCGGATCATGTAATGCTGTAAGCCGC